AACTGTTAAAACCAGATATAACTGTTAGGAACCGGATTAAACTGTTAGAAACCAGATAAAACGGCTAAAACTAGATTGAACTGTTAAAACCGGATTAAACAGAAACCGGATTGAACTGTTAGAAACCGGATTAAACGGCTAAAACTAGATTAAACTGTTAAAACCAGATAAAACTGTTAGAAACCGCATTAAACTGTTAAAACCAGATAAAACTGTTAGAAACCATATTAAACTGTTAAAACCAGATAAAACTGTTAGAAACCATATTAAACTGTTAAAACCAGATTAAACTGTTGGAAACCAGATTAGACTGTTAGAAACCGGATTAAACCGTTAAAACCAGATTAGACTGTTGGAAACTGGATTAGGTTGCATTATAAACAGATTAAACCGGGCTGGTTCAGTCCGGTTTAATCTGTTTGGTAATTTATTTTTCATTGACCTTTATTTATCCAGGTGGTCTCATTGAACCACGACAACTCATTTTCAACAGAGACCTGTTTAGGAGCTGATGGGGGTTAAGGGCCTTGCTCATGGGCCCAGGGTGGGATGAATGAGGGTGCTTCACCTACCCCACCCACATTTTTGATGTTGTCCGTACCGGGGCTTGGACCGGCGATCTTCCAATCACAGGCCCACCTTCTCTAACCTCTGCGCCACCACTCCCCTAATGTCGCACCTGTCCTCAGGTGGACCCGTTTCATTGAACTTAGGATCCCGTGTGACACACCTGTCTGTCCTCCTGCTCTCGTTTGACCTCTGACCTCTGTATTTCAGGAGCTCGGGAAGAAACTTCTCAAACGGCGGCGAGTTCAGAGCCGAGAGAAGAAGAAGAACAGACATCGGATCATCGGCGCTGTCGTCGATCAGGGACTCATCACTGTCCATCACTTGAAGAAGAGGAGGTCAGGGGAACACCTGTCTGAGACACCTGTCTGTCTCACCTGTCTGTGTCTGTCTTACCTGTCTGTCTCACCTGTCTGTCTCACCTGTCTGTCTCAGTCTCACCTGTCTGAGACACCTGTCTGTCTCACCTGTCTGTCCTCACCGTTGTCCACCTTTCTTTTTGTAATCAATGTATTTTTATTGATTTTTTTTAACATACAAACAAAAATTTGAACACAAAGAACAAAAGACCCTCCCCAGATCTCAACCCCCCTCCCCCTTACACACACACACACACACACACACACACAC